ATTATATTTCCTAGAGGAAGTTTAACCAATGACCAAGTGTTATTCCTCTCTAGAGCTTTTAATTCAGCTAGCATGGCTTTCCTCTAGCATTTAGTTTGACTTGCTTCTTTGAAAAAATGGGATCAATTGTACCAAAAATAGATAAGAAAAAAGCAGTATGAGAATTAGATTGTGAACTACATTGGCTCAAATATGTTGTTGATGACTTATGTCTTGACATTCCTTTTCCTTTTCCCACATTTTGTGACAATGAATCTACTATACAATTGGCTAAAAATCCCTCCTTTCATGAAAGAACCAAGCACATTAAGGTGGACTGCCATCTTATACGTGCGAAAATTCTTGAGGGCCTCATTGTTCTTTTTCATGATCCTTCCAAACATCAACTTGCTGACGTGTTTACCAAGTCTTTGTATCCAACACCATTTCAAGAAAATGTGTCCAAGTTGGGTTTAATTGGCATCCACAACCCACCTTGAGAAGGAGTATTAGAAATAGATTTTCTATATTGTTTGTTAGTGTAGCTGCCACATTTTGTTAGAGGTTGTTAGACTTCTTTTTGTTTCTTAGCTCAGTATATATAGTTAGGTTCATGTATCTTTTCAGTTAGGTTGATCAATTGAGCAATTGAAATATTTTTCACTTTTATGAGTTTGTTATTTTCTCTGCAAAATATTAATATTCATTGTTTGCATTTGAATGACTATTATATTTTTCTGAAAATTTGTTTATTTAAACTTGTGAAGACTTGTTTTCTCATTTTGTTGGTGCAGGTATGCTTCAAAATCAAAAGTAATAACTAGTACCTTTGATGATGAATGTTGAAAGCATGTCCGGGGATAAAATCCAAGTTCATCCAACTCTCCTCTAAGAAAGGAAGTGTCATATATATAGAGACAACCATAAAGAAAAAATTGTAGGCTTTGATAAAATTGGTAACTCCTCCTCTATTTGTATTGATTATTTATTTATTTTATGTTGAGGGACTATAAAAGATAACCAACCAAGTATAAATCAACATGTGATAAAGGATATAATTAAAATAATTTTCAAAAAGGAAAGATAAACTAATACTTCTTTCAAACTCAAAAATGTTTTTCTTTTCACTATTAGACTTAGAGATGTTTATAACTGATTCAATTCAATAAAAACTGTATAAGTTAAACTGAAAAAATTGAAAAATCAAAATCTAAAAAAACCCTAAATCAATGAGAAAATCAAACTAATCCCAAGTTAAACCGAATGCTTTTCTCTTTATTTATATCCAATTATTACCCTTTTTGATTTGGAATTTTACATTTTGATAAACAATGTATTGACTATTAAGTACTTATAAGTCTATTGGTTTACTTTTTTTATATTAATGATTTTATCATATTATTAAATATTGATAGATTATCTCAATTTGTAATTTTATATATTATGACTTATATTATTAATTAATTAATTAATAATATTAATAATTATTTTTTTCATTAAAATATTTTAACTTTTTTGATTTATAAAAATATTATAGTTATATTTAAAAAATGAAAAACCTATTCAATCCAAACCGAAATATATTTAGATTGAATTGAATTTGATTTTTAAACCAAATTAATTGGATGATCAATAAATAAAATTAAAGAAATTGGATCAAATATTTTTCTCACTCAAAATCTATCCAATCCAATTAGTGAACACTCTTAATTAGACCTATACAACTTTTTTATATGAATTTTGTACTGACCGTACTTCGCACCCGGGCTCCGAGCCTGGATTAGCGATACAAAGCCACCCCGGGCACACGCTGAGCGACGTCAGCCCGGTATTTGGGGCCCGGTATTTGGGCAGATCATTCCCGAACCCGGGGATCTCGTCCCAGATCAGAACCGCCCTCCAATTATATCATATCATATCTCATCATATC